ACACGAATTGATAGGTGAAACAACAAACAGCCACCCACAAATAGTCTATAAACAAAGCATCAGGCTGTCTGAGTTCATATGAACAACGGTTAAAGTTACTCGTCGTCAGGCTACAGAAGAATACCATAATTCCTCGGTTCAATTAGGCCTAAGACATCGAGAGTCACGCAGACCTAGATAACAATTCAGGCACAACACATAATTGCGAATAACATGCCTTACCTTAACACAGAATCGACCACAGAGTCCAGCATTTATATTTTTTCTACGAATCTTTGAGTTAACATGTACTAAACATGAGTGGAATTTGCACCGCAGCGCCCCCACACCTTGAGGGTTGAGTGAGATGAATTAATGCATATTCATATTTATTTTAGAACTACAGTAACATCTGATTTCTCTCAACATGGGGACAGGAGAGCTGTCAATCAATAAATTGGAAAAAAAAAGTAACTTGCGTTACTTATTTGAAAAAGTAACTCAGATATTCTCTTGTAAATTAAAAAGTAATGCATTACTTTACTAGCTACTTGAAAAAAAGTAATCTGATTACGTAACTCGCGTTACTTGTAATGCGTTACCCCCAACACTGTGCATGGTTCCCTGAACGGCATGCATGTATTATCAAATGAATACTTCCCATTTAACAGTTTGTATTGGCCATTTGTGTCATTGTCATGAAACAGAATTTGGCTCCTTCTCGGTGATACAATTATGTGGTCATGTATTGTGACCTGGTCAGACATTGAAGAAAGCAACCAGAAATATAATTTATCTCCTGTTTGTGCATAAAAATATGTTGTACAATGTTGTGTGTATAAGTAGTCAATGCATATTTGTCTTTTGGTAGGTATTCAGGGGCCACCTGGTCCATCAGGTCCTGCAGGTAAGCGGCAAGCTTTTGTTTTCAATTAAAAGTTTTTAATATTATTTTGTGATGTCTTTCACATAGCTTTTCATTACAATTCTTTTAGCCTTTTATTTGCAGTTAAGTCATGTGTAATTCATGTTAATATATTAATGCAGTGAATTAAATAAATCTGTCATTATAGGAATTGGAGGTCCAGGTCCTTCCGGTCCACCAGGTTTACCTGGAGAGAGAGGAGAAAAAGGTGATGAGGGACAGCCTGGAATCACCCTCCCTGGATCACCTGGGAGTACAGGTCCACCAGGTTCCCAAGGATTTCCAGGACCTCCTGGTCCCCCAGGAATATTAAATGGCAACACAGAATGTAATCGTGGTCCTCCTGGTCCTCCAGGCCTGCAGGGGGAGCTAGGATTTACAGGAGGAACAGGACAGAAAGGTTTGCTTTTTATTTCATATTAGAAAATAAAATTCTGTATGTACACACATACCTTTGGAAGGTTTGAGGAAATTTGTGTCTAATAATTTCTAATACCAACTGTCTTAGGTCAAAAAGGAGAGACATGTGTCAATTGTTTCACTAATAGAAACCCTGTCCCAGGACCGCCAGGGTTTCCAGGTCCTCCTGGAAATCCAGGTAAGATTAAAGTCAACTTAGGGTGTGTTCACACTTGTCGTGTTTGGTTCAATTAAAACGAACTCTGGTGCAATTGCTCTGTTAGTGCGGTTCATTTGAGTAAGTGTGAACGCTGCCATCCGAACCCTGGTGCACACCAAACAAGCAGACCAAGACCGCTAAAAAGATGGGTCTCAGTCCGCTTCCGAACGAACTCTGGTGCGGTTCGAATTAAATATGAACGCAACATGGACCAAATACTTCTAAATGAACCAAATACAGGATGTAATGACAAGATGCAATGCTATGCGACATGATTTGATGACACGGAACAAGCGGTGTATCCAAAACAAAATGGGCAGAGGGCAAATGTGGAGCAACGAGGCGGAAAAGTGTCTTTTATGAGCTCTTCGTGAATTCGCAGGTGGTAAAAATATAATGATATGTACACGCAACAATGAGCGTGCTTAGTCCAGCAGACGGCATTAAGTGTAAGCGACTTAAAGGTGGGGTAAGCGATTTTTCAAAAACACTTTAGAAAACTGATTCGGGCCACTAACAAAACAAACTTGTAGCCAATCAGCAGTAAGGGGCGTATCTACTCATGATGTGGAGGAGAGAGCGTTCAGTGCACTTGACGGACCAAGCGACAGAAAGATAGAGATGGCGGATAAAAAACGAAAGAGGAAAACGTCTGCGAAACAAAAAAAGGCATAAGGCAAGAAGTAGGACCCGTGTAAATATCGGATCAGCTTTCCAGCGCTGGAGAGAACTCAAGGAGAG